TCAAGATCAATTTAGATCGGCCTCATATCCTTTAGATCCGTTGCTCGTTTTGTTACAACACGATATTGTCTACCTTGAGCGACGTATTATGCTTCATCGACTGTTTTTACTTCGATCTTGATCGTGCATAGTACGCGGTTAAGGCATGAATAATCTTGGAGAGGTTTGCTGGTTGGTTAAATCTGGTCTATGGTTCACTATCATGGCTGTAACGATCCGATCGATCCCCACTGATAGGGCTGTAGATTGGAGGATGCTAGCTAGTAGATTTGTTCTTGATTAGGCGTGACCTTAACTGTTTGTTATGCCTGCATCGACTAAATAGCCGATCGTTTGTGCGTTAATGCCTATAGCATGTTTACATGATTCTGTTGAACGTGAATAGATCTGTTTACTTTAAAGGTTTAATTTGTTGTCTTTATCACAGCTGCATCGATCCGGTTGAACCCCACTGTTAGAGATAGCAGGTTAGGTCTGATGAGTCTATAGGTCTGTCCACGTAAAATAGTCGATTGTTCACACGCTGTAGTCCTTTTCACCTGAATCGGCTATTTTAGCCGATTCATCTGAGCCTTCACGTATATCATGTCCTTCGGAAAAGCCTGTTGAAGTGTAGACGGTTTTTATGGATTCTTCAGTTTTAGTTTGTTACTATCATCATAGCTGCCATCAATCCGGTCGAACCTCACTGTTGGTGGTAACATATTACATTCAGAGTGTCGGTAGATCCGTTTGTATTAGATAGTCAATTTGTTCATGAGTTATATCTTTTCATGATTAGATTCATCGGCTCAATGATTCATACTGATAATATCCACCTAGCTGATGATCTTATTTACATATACGTACTGTACTTGTCAACATGAAATTAATCGCTACCCATGAGCTTCTGGTCCATAACGGACCCGATTTACATGCGGATCGGCTATTGATCGCTTCTTCCCGTATGGTCGCTGCTCCTCGGCAAAGACACTTGGAACTGCCTGGGCACAGATCGGCATGTTTCACCTTAAATTACTGATAAACTTTCTCTCCTTGTCAATTGCAGGGTCAAATTGATTGGCACGTCTCGGGAGGAGTACGCAGGATCGACCACTCCTGCGTTGAAGCCAGGCGGATCTCTAGCTCCATCGAGCAGACCCTTCTGGCTTGTTCGTGTGCCCAGCACGATTGACACATTTTCGTGCCGACACACTGGAACTTTTCCTAAAATTGACCAAAGAAAATGAGACCCGATGGCTGCAGGAAAGCAATGCAAGTATTAAATAGGTTTGAATTGCTCACTTATTTTTCTTGGAAACCTCGTCGTCCGGTGGAAGAAAGCCAGTGAACTGAGCCACCAGCTCCCTCCAGTGATCATTGTCAACTATACCTATCACTGGAAGTCCCCCCAACCGAAGGCCAAAGATAGCCTTCACGTCTTGCATGGTCAAGGTCATCTCGCCGCAAGGTAGGTGGAACGTGTGGGTCTCAGGCCTCCACCTGTTATAAGAATAGAACGACTGTTAGTTACCTCAAATTTATTATAAGAATGTTTACGTACAATGAAGGCACTCGCACCTGTCTACAGCTGTAGTAAGTAGTGCTGGGTCAAGGGACGGAAGACCGTAGTTGACAACACGGGCAAGCTCGAGAAAGCCGGCACGCCGTATGTACGGCGCGTAACGCTCGTCCCACTGGTGCGCCCTGGTGTGCGTGCGGGGCCTCAAAGGAGGCAATGGTACCTCTGCGTCGGTGTCAGTTAAGAAGTGTGCTCGGTGCGGATCGTCGTACTCCACCTCAAGAAGGGGTACAACTGGTGCTGCGTGGGAGGGGGCCATCCTGTTACAAATTAATAAACAAAGGGTTAGAGTATTCAAATTAACAATATTCAAATTAACATTATGTAGCATTGCAAAAATTGAACTACTTGTTATGCAATAGGAACACAATATGAAAGCAACTGTATATATTCAAAGTAACATTAACAGACATATTAAATAACTTCACTAGGAAAATAAACAACTTCTATGTATGGACCTGCTGCCCTCGTCTTCTATGCCTGTGGGCATCCGTGGCGCGACGGGCACGTGCGGGCGCCAAAGAATAGGGCGGCGGCATGACTTCTTGATGCCCCAGCAGTGATCTGCTTGCTTTGGGGCGGAGACCACGCGCGCAAATAGCAGGGCGGCGGCGTGGCTCCCTTTTGTGGCTGCCGGCGAACTCATGAAGGAGCCCGACGGCGCCATCTTAGTTCTTAAGGTAAGTGAAAAGCGTTTTACTGATCTTAGGGTTAGGGATTGTTACCGGATTTGGGTAATTTGCATTCCTAAGGTTCGGATTTGGGAAAAAACTGGGGCTTAGTGTTGAAGTTGATTCAACTCCTCTCCTTCTCGGTGCTTAAGAGAAACCTTATATTCTGATTTGGCTTAAAGAACTTTGAATTGGCCAAATCCGAGGCTATTTAGATCTTAACCAAACACTAATTAGGTCTTAGGGTTCAAGAATTAGGCTAAGCGGCTTCTCGGATACCAATTGTTAGAACTTTATACTTAGACAAGATCTTAATTAACCTAATTATAGGAACGCCTAAACCGAAATTAGGACTTTAATCAATCTTACTCGCTTGAAGATGCACCTAGGGCCACGATGACCTTCGCTTGCAGGCACACTGTTGTCGGATGTAGAGTCGCGGTATGGTTCTGGGCGTCGTCGTGGTGGTGGCGTGCGGGCGCGGCGGGCGCAGCGGGTGGCTGGTGTTCGTGGCGCGGCCGGCACGGCGGGCGGCCACGGCCAGCGGCAGGCGCGGCGGGCGGGCAGGCGTGGCGGCGGGCAGGCAGACAGAGGGAAGGCGGCTCGCGGGCGATATTTACCTGTGACTGCCGCGCCGTGAGGGATGGGGCGGCACTGCCGTGCCAAGATCGGTGGCGCGGCAGACCCTGTCACGTCACCAGTCAGCGCCCCGGCCGTCGCCACGTCATCCCTCTCGCCGCGCTACCATGCATGGCGCGGCACAGGCGTTTCGCCGCGCCAGGGAAATAGGCGCAGCCAAAAGTGTTAGTTTTGGAAAAAAAATTAAAACAGTGTTAGATTTAAAATTAGTTTACAAAAAGTGTTAAAATTAAAAAAAATCCTCCGTGGTTAGCTGTGAATTGACGGCCTAGCTCCCTAGGACACTATGCCATCCGCCGCCACTGACGATGACGAGGAGGTGATCCTTTTAACCTTGGCCTTTGCTCTCCCTAGCCCCGTATGCCCTAAGCTCAGGCCGCGGATCGAGTCCCCACGCCCTAAGGCCTTGTTTAGTTCCGCGAATTTTGGGAATTTGGATACTGTAGCACTTTCATTTTTATTTGGCAATTAGTGTTCAATCATGGACTAATTAAGCTCAAAACGTTCGTCTCACGATTTCCCACCAAACTGTGCAATTAGTTTTTTTCGTCTACATTTAATGTTCCATGCACGTATCACCAGATTCGATATGATGGCTACTGTAGCACTTTTTGGCATAAGTACCGTATTACGTAGAGTTGTAGGAGTTGTAGTACGTACATCCTTTTCTTCTGCTTTTTAATTCGACACACCGCACCTGATCGATCGTCGACGTCGATGCACATGCGAACACAACAATATTCGAGATCTCTTGGCCTGATAAATCTCCAGTTATCAAATATTCGTCCAGTTCTTACGTTAATTTGCATGTTCGATATGATCGATAACTAGTATATCTTACCTAGTTCTTAACTAGGTTGCATATTGTTGAGATCGAGCTTGCTGATATATATGATGATTGCATTGTCTACATCTACCACTCCCCGTTTGGTTTTGGTATAACTGAATGTATATGCATGATACTAATTAAAATTAATGATCATTGTACGTACGTGTGCTTGGTGTGTTTAGATATGATGCTGATCTTGGTGAAGAATCTCGACGGCAAAACAGTGTCCGTCAGAGTGGAGTCCTCTTCTGACACGGTTGCCAGCGTCAAGGCAAAGCTTGAGGAGTTGGAGGGCATTCCTCCTCAGCACCAGAACCTTTTATACTCCTCCAGCAGGATTCTCAGAGATGGGCACAAGCTTTCCGATTAGGGCAGGGCCAACGGAGGCGAACGTTCTGTAGTGCCCCAAACGCCACATCGACGGAGCAGCATAGCGAGGCAGTTAATCTTCCGACGCCAACATTAAAAGAGCAGCCTCAAACTTCAATTATATATTAATATATTCTGTTGCATTGGACCACATACTCTCTGCTTTAGCATCTGCTGCAGGGTACGTACGTCACCAAGGAATCACTCTTGCGCTTCAACGCTTGCCTCGGTGTTGTCTTCGGCTTTTTGTCAGACGAGACCAAAACGTTGCTTCTGCAGGAGTCTCTGCAGCTCTGCGAGGCCATTAGCACAGCTGACATGGATACGCAGAGCTGAGGTGGAGCTTGGGGCAGCACGCCAGGTCGGCGCGTTGGGCAAGCCCTTACAACGTCGTGGAGGAGTCCACCTTGTACCTTCTCATGCGTCTTGCCCCTTGCGGTGGCGGATGCTGCAGTAGTGAGTCTAGTGACGACGACAGCATCTATATCTACGTCCAGACACGCACGAGAAAGACCCTCGCCCTCCAGGTGGAGCCATCGTCACACACGGTCACCGACGTCAGGAGAAAGATCAGCGGCCACCAGAGCCTGTTCTTGTCCGGCAACAAGCTCGAGGATGATCGGACGTTTGGATCCTATCATCAGGCCTTGTTTAGATACACTCAAAATTCCAAGTTTTTTCACTCTCTCTCCATCACATCAATTTTTAGCCGTTTGCATGGAGCATTAAATGTAGGACGAAAAAATAACTAATTGCACAGTTTAGTTGGAAATCACGAGATAAATCTTTTGAGCTTAGTTGGTCCACGATTGGACAATATTTACCAAATAAGACGAAAGTGCTACTATTTATCGGGTTGAAGTTTTTTTCAATTTAAACAAGGCCTCAGATCCAGAACGACACCACCCTGCACCTCGACTTCGGCATGCAGGTCTTCGATCGTGGAGACGCTCAATGGCAGCGAGACCATCACTGTTGAGGTAGAGCCATCTGATACAGTCGGTGATGTCAAGGCAAAGATACAGGACCAGCAGAGGCTCATCTTTGACGGCAGCAGGCGTGATAATAAGCGCAAGCTTGACTTTTACAAGGTTCAGCATCATTCGACCCTGCACCTTGATGACCTCTGTAGTCCGCGTGATGATGCCATGCAGCAGATTGGCGATTTCAAGGCAAAGATTCAGGACCAACAGAGGCTGCTCTTTGAAGGACAGCGGCTTGTGGATGTGGATGGAGATGGACAGAGACAGACGCTCGCCAATTACAACGTCCAGAGACAATCCACACCCTACACCTTGACTGTCCCATGCAGTTTTTTGTGAAGACGTCGTCCACGGACCAGACGATCACTCTAGAGGTGGAGCCGTCTAACACCATTGAACATGTCAAGGAAAAGATCGGTGGTGGCCAGTGGCCACCAGAGTCTCACTGTCACCTTTGATAACAACGAGCTTGACGATGGGAAGACGCTTGCTGAGTGTAATGTCCATATGGGGTGTACCCTGCACCTTCATGCTTAGCTACAAAAATTTGGCGTCTTTTGATGTTGATGCTCTACTATGTACTTAATATATTTTGCCTCTTCTAGATCTAGACTAGACTCTTATCGTATACTTTGCGAGCATATGTCTTTCAAGTGAGGCTATCTTTGTCCATCTTTGTTTTGGTATAATAGTAAGAACATGCGTTTGTGATATATATATGCTCTTGCCCACACTGGCACCTCGTATCCATCTGAGTTTCTGACTGGTAATATTCAGCAGAGGTGCACTCGGAATACTTCAGTTAATTAAGCCGCTGCCTATACCTGAATACCGGCCTGCTTCCTTTTTGAATTCATCTGTTGATTATTCATGAGCTTTTCCTTCATTAGTTGCGTTGCAATTCCGTTTCTGTACTTTAAGTATTCAAATTATGTTTCTTTCGTGAACTGCAGTGAACTATCTCCCTCTCTCTCTAAGTTCAAGTTCAATCTTTACAAATCACAATTAGAGAGTTAATACTTGGATTGAACTCTCAGCATTAGGCATTTGTTCTACATTGGGTAACCTAAAGAGAGAGCGATCGATCGGTCTGAGCTATGGTTCTTGCATCCCAAGAATTCAATAACTCTTCAAATAACGTACCAGAATTATAGACCATCTTCTTTAGCTATATGGGAAGAATTACGGTCAAGCATTTACCTTTTGTTTTTGAACTCATTGTTTTCTTCCCTAAGTATTGTGCATTGGATCAAATAGAACACCAAATATGCTTCATCTTTTGTAGGCTCTAGGATTGCTATTCTATTTGAAAGAGGATGGAACGATACGAGTGCCCTTCGAGCGGTGGATCAGAGGAACCACCAGCACATCCCTTCAATTGCAAAAGGAAGAAAAAGAAATCAATCTGAATAACCTCTCTCAGCAACATATCAGCTTTACTAGCATGTATATTTGAGAGATACTCCCTCTGTACTAAATTGTAAATCGTTTTGGCTTTTCTATATACATAGCTTATACTATGCATCTAGACACAATATATACAGTGATTAACTAAAACTTTGAACTATTTTAAGAGAACAATATATTAGTATTATCATGTGCTCAAAAAATTGAGTAGTTTAAATATTATGTTATTAGAACTTAATGTCCGTTATATATCCGCGATCTGCACGCAGCTAATTCATATGAAGATGTGAAATGTGAATTGCATCTTTTTAGTACGTGAAGCTTCACCAAACAGGCCTTTTCGCTGCATCGTTCTTTCCTTAAAAAAAAGAATTTTATAAAAAACTAAACGCGCATCCTTGGAATCCAAATATGGGAAACTTGTTGTCTAGGGATAGTTGTCTGGGTCTAGCCCATCTTCCACTACAGTTGCGGGCTGCAGGCCCACGCACGCGCCACTCGGGGCCCAACGAAACTGGCGCCGCGACGGATCCTCTCGCCGGCTGCACCATGGCCGGGAAGAGCGAGGTACGCCCCCGTGGTCGAGGGTTGAGATGCCGACCACTCAGTGTGTGCGCGCGCGCGCCTCACGTCCAGTCCAGGTCCAGCCATCGGTGGGACAGCCTAGTCGAGGAGAAGCTTCGCCAGCGCCGCGCCGCACTCGTCGACGAGGTGAGTTCCTGCTCAGGTTTATCCGGTCCCCGTTCATCTCTTCCGTGTAAGAATAGAGGGATCGAACGAAATGTCAAGCGACGGGAAACCGGGGAACTAGTGATTCTCCTGGAGGGAAGTATGCAACGGGGCCGGATGCTGCGTTTTTGTTTGTAGCTCGTGCCTCGCAGACTTCGATCTGCCTGAATTGCTCATCAGCCATCGCAGAGGCATTGGGCAAACTGCCACTTGAATTTTCGATTGTGAGCATGCAGCACGCGGTTGGCGATTAGCTTCCACTCCACTCAGCTGTAACAGTCCAGCGAAATTTCTGTCTCACCATCTTTCCTAGATGCCTAGGCACGAGACAGGAATCGACATTTGTCATCCACTATGCTTTGTCTTTCTTTCCTCCTAGACTTTCTTACACCTCTTTCCTGCTACTACTAGGGAACAATCTATGGGTGGATAGCAAAGCTTGACTTGACTCAGAGACTTGGAGTCTTTGGCCCCGCGTCTTCTGGGAAAAGACGCTAAAGTTTACTAGCAGCCAGTTTAATGAATTGATGATTGAGAAACTGCATTATGCACACGAAATTATTAAGCACCAGTGCAATGATTGATCAGTTAATCAGCTTTTAGTTTTTGGTTAATTGGAATGTATGCGCTTACCAATTCATTGCAGTGGGTAAGATGGTTGGCGATTGCAGATATAAATGGTTCTTTTGTCAATTTTCATTCAGAGTTGCTGTTTGCAAAATATTTCGTTACATGATTCGAGGGCAGTTTAGGATTTAAATTGAGTTTTTGAGATTGAGATTTCCACCAACAAGAAAAAAAGGGGAAAGGTGAAAAGTAACGGAAAGGAAAGCAGTCTACCTAACCTTTTTTCATTTGTTATTAAGGGTGCCTGGCCAAGACGGCTTGACTTGACTCCCACCTTCCATGAAATGCACCGGCACTCAAGCTGAATGGCCATTATAAGAGCTTCACTCAGCCAAAAAACTTCAGGAGTTCGACACATACATTGAATTGCAAATCAATATTTTTTCACTACTTCACTCCACTCCATTACGCTTCACAACAACTAAAGCCGTTCCATGACCATGGGGACAGTTGTCGGTGAGATGCTTGCATCGGCTGTCCTGAAGGTGGTCATGGGGAAGCTTGGTGCGGTTATTGGGCCTGAGGTCAGCTTGCTGTGGAAGTTCAAGGATGACTTCGAGTCGATCAGAAGCACACTGTTGACACTCCAAGCTGTGTTGGATGACGCTGAGAAGCGGTCTTCACGAGAGGAACGTGTGCACCTCTGGCTCAAGAGGCTTAAGTTTGCTGCTTATGACATTCATGACATTTTAGAGGAAATGGAATCCAAGAACGACATTGGCTGTGGTTCACTTAAGAAGGTGATCACCTTTTTCTATTTTCTGATTTAAACATTTTCTGCATTTAAGTATATTTCTGTTAAATGAATGGATTGAAAAAGTATATTGCTATGTTTCTGTTCAATATGTCGGTGTCGGGTAATCCTTAGTACTTGTTTTAAAGCTACCATCTGTGGTGTATATAAATTAATAGCTACTGAGCTATACCATATTGCATGTTTTGATTTGAAAATTTCTTTTGTTTGATTGTAAGTGTAATGGTAAACATGCAGTTAGTGGTAGCTGTCCAAGTTTCTGATATAATTTGTGCACCAATATAACTTAAAGTTGTAACACGATAGTCAACTAGGTTTCTTGAAGTTTATATGCAGGCAAGGAAGCAGGGAGTGTGCTTTCTAGCATGTACGGTTTTGGAATCGTTTGATTTTTAGGCTGTTACATCATCTGTGTGTTCTCCTTCAGTGAGCATTAGGCTCCAAGTCTTTTGAAGCCTGAGAAAGGACTGTTAATAACAGCAGAGTACCACCTATTAAACAAGTCTCTGTGATCTCTTTTGGAAATTTAGCTACCCACTCTTTGCTGGCAGTATGGAAACCTCTCTGTAAACCAATACCATGGCCCCTAATCCTGTGTCAACTGCAACGAAAGAAGCTAATCTACCACACAAAGCATGATGTTAAACAACAATGGTTACAGAAATTTCTGTTATTTATTTTCAGCATAGGGATAGGAATTAGTTAGGGAAAAGCTTTCTCTGTGAATTATGTAACTTTACCTCAGAAATTGAAGTCTAAAACATGTGGCACAGCTTAGCGCACACATCACCATTGCTCACAAGATGAAGAAGATGAGACAGAGGTTGGAGAAGATTAAGGAAGAAGCAAAACTGGATATATTCAATTTCAAGGCTGATTATTGCTTCTTGGATGAAAATGTTAATAGCAGGGCTACATTTTCTTGTATCAGTGAAGAGATTGTGGGGAGGGCCATGGAGAAAGAAACTATAGTTGCTATGTTGACAACATATAGTGAAGAAAATTTTTTGACCCTCTGTATTTATGGTTTTGGTGGCCTTGGTAAGACCACTCTTGCCAGGTTAGCTTTCAATGATGAAAATGTTGGGAGAGTTTTTGATTACCGAGTATGGGTCTATGTATCTATGAAATTTGATCTGAAGAAAATCGGTGAATCTATACTTTCTGAAATTGATGAAGGTAACTGTGGCCACCATGCAAACCTTCAGGAGGTTACTCGTCATCTCAAAAAGAGTACTTGCTGGCAAGAAGTTCTTGGTTGTTCTTGATGACCTATGGGAAGACAATTGGATCCAATTGCAAAATCTGAAGACAATGCTCAGCTGTGGTGCAAAGGGAAGTAAGATCATTGTGACTACACGCACTGGGAAGATTGCTTCCCTGATGGATCATTGCATGCCTTACAAGATGGATGTCCTATCTGATGATGATTGTTGGATTTTGTTTAAGAGACAGGCCTTTGTTCCTGGAAGGGATGATCCTAGGATAGAAGTAATTGGAAAGGATATAGTGAAGAAGTGCAATGGTGTGCCTTTGTCTGCACAAGCTTTGGGTTTCATGATGCGATTCAAGGAAGGGGTGGCTGCATGGGAAGCAGTGAGGGACAGTGAAATCTGGGAGATAGAAGAAGATCAGAATATCATGCCATCTTTGAAGCTTAGTTATTGCCTCATGCCTTGTCACCTGAGGCTGTGCTTTGCATACTGTGCAGTTTTCTCCAAAGGAGCTGTCATAGACAAGGACATGCTGATACAGCAGTGGATTGCACTTGGATTCATTCAACCCACTAGTGGAAGCTTGACACTTGCAAAGCGCGGTGAGGAGTACATCCGTGAACTAGTGAGCATGTCCTTCCTTCAGGCTTCAATGTTATCATCCTCAGTGAGTCACTTTTACATGATTATGAAATTCATATTCCACTATACTGCTGAACTTAGGGTGTTGTTTACACTGCATGTCATCTTAGTCATCTGCCATAGTTTTCATAATATTTACTTTTGTTGATATGTTCTTAATTCTTATTCGATTTGCTTATGCGTTTAAACTCATTATGTACACATCAGGCGGCTAACCATCACACCTAAAGCTGCAAGGGTATTCCAGATGCATGATTTGGTGTATGACCTTGCAAGATGTGTTGCTAATGAAGAATTCCTATTCATGGATGCCAAAAGAGTAGCACGACTAGTGCTGGAAGTGATCATTACCGACATACAGTGCTGATGAATTGCATTGAGGTACCAATGAACAGCAAGGCTGCACTCTGTAAGGCAAAATCACTTCATTTTAGAGATTGCAAAAAGGCTGCAGATTTCTGGGAGATCACTCTCCCTGACCCTGAGTAAATTCTTGCGAGTCTTGGACATAAGTGGTTGTTCTATCTTAGAGTTACCAAGTCAACTTAACAAGATGAAGCAGTTACGTTATCTTGATGCATCGGGAATGCAGAATGAATTGAAACAGGAGTCTTTCGCTGGTTTACAATGCCTAAATGCACTAAACCTTTCAGCAAGTTATTTTCAGACATTGCCAGTTCAAATAGTTAACCTTGAGAAATTGCATTACTTAAACCTTCATGGCTGTTCTCGCCTCATGTTAATTCCTGAGTCCATTTGTGAACTAAGGGATTTGGTGCATCTAGACCTATCAGGATGCATTAACCTACGAGTTCTGCCCACATCTTTCGGAAAGCTCCAGAAACTATCATTCTTGGACATGTCTGGTTGTCTCAACCTAGTTAGCTTGCCGGAATCATTTTGCGACCTCTGTTACTTGGAGAACCTTAACTTGTCATTCTGTCATGAACTTAGAGAGTTGCCATTAGGCAATCATCAAGAACTCCTCATACTGGACGTGTCCAATTGTCATAAAATCCGCATTTTACCCATGTCATTTTGTAACCTCCTACATTTAGAGGATCTCAATTTGTCATGCTGTTATGAACTTCAAGAACTTCCAGAAGATTTTGGAAAAATTCATGGGCTTCGTATTCTGGATCTAAGTGACTGCCACAGACTTCAAGCATTGCCTGATTCCTTTACTGACCTTGTAAACATAGAGAAACTAATCTTATCTGATTGCTGGGAGCTAGTAAAGCTTCCAGAATTGCTTGGGTGCCTACGGAAAATTCAGGTTTTGGACCTATCATGTTGCTCACAACTTTTTGCATTGCCTGAGAGTGTTACTAACCTCACCAATTTAGAACACCTAAATCTGTCATGCTGCATTAGCCTTGAAAAGATGCCTGGAGACTACGGCAGCTTAAAGAAACTTAAGCTTTTGAACATATCATATTGTTTTAAGGTCAGTAGTATCCCTTATGGCATAGCCAATATGTCTAACCTCAACTGTTTGTTGGCGGTTGGGTTGGATGGTTACTCTTGTAAGAATAAGGATGATTTCAATATTGTAAGTAGCTTACTATGTATGCCTAGTATAGATTTAACTGAAAAGGACAGCCCCAGTGGCGACTTCCATGGGATCTTAAAGCACAAAAGACTCCATCTTTTGGGTCTCGGCACTGTGCAAAGCATTGATGAGGTTGAGAACTTAGGATTGTGCAGGCATCAGCAGCTCAACTCATTAAGACTTAGTAGCTCCTACTTGAATGGTAATGAAGTGGCTAAATTTGTACCAGATGACATTGTACTTGAAAAGATCATACCTCCAAGGACCCTGGAACACTTTGAACTTTTGGGCTATCGTGGTTCAGAATTTCCTGAGTGGATGCTGAATCTGACAACCATTTTGCCAAACCTTGTACACCTTAAGCTTTCTGGCCTTGCTACATGTGACCATCTGCCCCCTCTTGGCCAGCTACCAAAATTGCAGTCTCTGGTCATAAATAATATACCAAATGTCAAGGCTGTTAGAGAAGATTTTGCTGGTGGCAGCAGAGCATTTTTGAAATTAAGGGACCTCACCATCAGTGATATGCCAAACCTAGAAAGGTGTCTGTTAACTCTATCAACTAGCAATGAAGAGGCCCATGTGTATATGTTCCCTAACCTTCACCATCTGAAGGTATCATGGTGCCCAAAGTTGATATTTGAACCATCTCTTCCACAGTGCCTTTTATTGGAAATTGATGCATGTGGTGAGATCTTGCAAGGATGGCCAGTCACACCTTCACAATTACACCCTAGGCCAACAAGAAGGTTAAGCTTCCAGTTCTGTGACTTATCATTTTCAAGGGAGGACCAACTTCATTTGTTTAGTTCCTTAAGTTCACTTAAGTTCCTGTCAATAAGGTCATGTGAAGGTTTGAACACTTGGGGAGAAAGCATAGGAACATTAACCAGCCTTGAGGTGTTGGAGCTTTCACTCTGTGATATACCAGTGTCTTTGGGAAGAATCGCTTCATTGCAGAGTCTGAGTATTGAAATGTGCCATCTACCTTGTGATTTTCCCCATTATTTGCTACAACTTCCATTCTTGCGGGAGCTACAAATGGTTTCTTGCGAAGCTAAGTTAGAGTTACCTGGTGAAATGACCAGAGCCATCTTGTCTCGTATTCCAAATATCAACATACACCATGTAAGTTACTGTGCATATATATATCTTTACATTCTGCTTATGGACTATGATTTCCTAGATAGCTCTGCGAAGATTAATTACAGTTATGGCAATCATGCATTCATGCTATACATACAGTCGTGAAATATCTTTATCTTGATGCACCAATGCTTTTTTCTTCTATATGTTGCATGTAATTTATAGGATGTCAATTGTGAACAGTTCATGACATATTTATAGTGTGGAACCACCCAATAGTATTCAGGTCAAGTTCATTTCTTGTCTTAGTTTCAAAGGGCACGAATGCAATCCAATATAGTGCCGGGGTGTGTGTGATGTACAGTTTCTTGTACTTGTACCCTTTTCTTATTAATATAATGATACACAGCTCTCTTGTGATTTCGAGAAAAAAAGTCAGATAATGAAATATAGCATGACATATTCTTTCATCTCGTCAATTATGCAACTTATCTGTTCTTTCTGTATTCAGGTCGGATGTGTCGAGCATATAGAACAGGAGAATGGTATATGCCAAAATGTTTCAATTGACAAGGTAAGCTGATGGTATATTATATGTGCCTGTTCATTCGAAAGTTAATCAAATGTCTGTTTCATTATGGCAAGTAATTGGTGATGGTTGAACTGGATCGTTCAAATTTGAAAGCATGCAATTGATGCATACCTGACAAATGACAGTCTTTGGATGGCTGATTCTGTTGATGGTAGTTTATATTGCAATATTGTGGGAGGTATATGAGTACCATTTTTCTTAATATATAGCACTAGTGTTCTGCTAGGTGTAGGAAATTAACAACTGGTGCAGATGGTTTATTTGAATACCCTCTCTTGTTGAGAACCTTCTTATATTTCAGAGGTTATTTTGTTGACATTCATCTTCTCTTCAAATTTAGGTCGGACGTATGAGCTCTATCGATGTTATAGTTGTGCCTCCACGGATCCAAATTGACCCAATGAGTCAGGTACCAGCAGTAAAGTTCTTTTGTAAACCTGAAGAATCAACTGTTTATTATCCCATGAAAAAAGGATAAAAGATGACCTTTGGTGGAATTTGAAAGCATATACTGTGACAAAATAATTGATGCCCATGTCTATTCTTTGATCATCATAATTTTGGGCCTTTGCCATGTAGAAATTGAAATTTGTACGATCTATGCCTGAGTTGTCCTTAGCATTGCAACTGTTGCTTTGAGGTCAGAAATACACCACGCTGTTCTGCAGTCCTGCCTCAGAGTCCCAACATTCCTGGTCCTAGGGTTTAAGTCTAATTGCTTAAATCTTTTCAGTGGATTTATGCACATCTTTCACCTGATCCCTTTGCCTTCTGTACCGTGATACAGAATTCAGCAGGTGAGTCCAGGAAGATGGTTCGGTTAAGGAATCTCCAGCTGAAGTCACCACGCCTAAGGATCAAAAGGCTTGCCAAAGTGGCACAGCTGAAGAGCAGCAGGCGCAAGCGGCGTGGCGTAAATTACATTTCCGCAGCCAGAAAAGCAAGAACTGGGAACGTGGCTTCAAGTAGCAGCCAGCGAACGTGGAATTGCGGCAATATCGCGGATGAGGTAGATATTCGAGATTTTATCAACTTCCTTCGGGAGAAGTTCGGGTGTCAAGGAACGTCAATGAACCATCAGCGGCACATGACGGTGACGGGAGGCTTTTCACGGATGAACCTATTCTGAGAAGGAAAAATTCCAGGTAGCGTCCAGTCTGGTGAAAATTGCAAACCAAATCTTGCTATTGCAAAACCAAACCCGGTGAGGCGGGGAAGCCGGTCACATGCACACTGCAATGCCGTATATATATTCTTCCTTTCCTTTTGAAGAATCTTTGCAGTGCAAATTGTTGTTCAAGTATTTCTAGCTTGATTCATGTTCTAGTGCAAGACAACAAACTCTTATGTATGCCCTGCCCTGTCAGATGACGAACCTTGCTTGTAAGCAGCCAAGCGAATAACTGGATCATTATTACTCTGTTTCTCTTATCATTGCTTGCTAGTAGTGCTAGTGCATAAACATTGCTCCCCTTTTCTTTTCCCCTTTTTGACGAAGTTGTAATGGGGCAAGAACCCTCCAGGAATTTTGCACGATATTTAGTACACATCAGGCTACTAGTATATACCAAAAACAAATCATTATTTAAACAGATCGAACTTTATTAGCATGATAATATGTACACATTAGGGTGGCGTAGTGTATAAACATTGCTCCCTTTTTTTTTTCCCCCTTTTTGACGAAGTTGTAATGGGGCAAGAACCCTCCAGGAATTTTGCACGATATTAAGTACATATCAGGCTACTAGTATATACAAAAAAACAAATCATTCACTACTACACGAATTTTAATCGAGACGGGCACTTTTGCTTAACCGAGGCGGGCAAGCCAACCGCCTTGGCGCGAAGGTCACGGTTAATCGTGGCCCAACCGCCTCGGTTAATAGATTAACCGTGGTGGACATCATAAGCTAACAGCCTCGTAACGCGCCCGCCTCGCTTAAGATTTTAACCGAGGTGGTTGAATAAAGACGTCCGCCTCGGTTAAGATTTTAACCGAGGCGGTTTTTATTACTTGGCCGGCTCGGTTAATGATTTCCAGATTTAAAAAAATAATACTTTTTCAAATTAGAATTTAAATTTGAATTTAAAATTTCGCTAGTGAAAACACAGATAAAACAGAAAATAGATGACAAATATATATTATATTCATTCTCGTTCGACGAACCGACATTAAGCTATTACAGTAGTGATGTCTTCATGATTGTTTCACAAACACAAATCATTCGTACATCAGCAACTAAGGTCATTCATACGTATCATTTTTTACCGGAAAAGAGGTCCGGCAGAATATAATCCGAGATTCGTAACTTGGTGCTCCAGTTTCTGATCGTCTTGAACTTCGAATCCCACGCTAACTCGCTTTTCTAGTTGAAGAATGTATTCCCTTCATGCACGCTCTCTATGATAAAATTACATATGTCTGCTACTGTTTGTCTGAAGTCTTGGTCGATCTTCTCCCTTCGCCACCATTCTTGTGCTTCTTGAGCTGCCGCCAGCTGCTGCTGAATCTGTTGCACATCCTCCGATACTCGCAAACGTAGAATCCACATAGAACTGAGCCATAGGGTTGTTTAGCGCACTGCACGATGTATAATACACAATCATTAGAGCATATATAATAAACAATCAGTAGGAGTAGTAGAACAGTAGTAGTGAGTAGAGTAGGGTAGAGTAGTAGTAGAAGGAGTAGTAGTAGGAGTAGAAGTACTAGAGTAGAGTAGAGTAGAGTAGTAGGTGTAGTATTAGGAGAAGAGCAACAATAGTAGTAGTATTGGTACTTACCGGAAACTCACGCTTGAGTTTCAGTTTTGTGCCATTCTTGATCTTCTTCTTCTCAGATCTCCGATCATAGCAGTCGGGATCTTTCATGTACTTCTTATAAGCGTTGTATGAAAAACCACTAGTGTCAACGACATCTTCAACAAGTATGTTAACTATAAATGAATAAGTTCCGCCACTTACTATCTCAAACAGCTTTTAAATTGCTTGTACCCTTCTTTGTTTGTATCCCACAAAGAGTCAAATATACAGGCCCTTCCGTCCTGAGGATAGATTATAAATGCAATCCAGTGGCCCATGATGCCCTGGCTGCACCATTCACACAATACAGATTAGAAATGTTCAAATATGAGAAGTCATGATCCTAGTACCTATATATATGTTCCAAGTATCTTTTGGACTTACCCGAATTGGTGGGCGGCCATGACGCACCCATTTCCCTAAATCTTCTTCATGGACTCATAGATGTATATTCCTGCTCGATACTTATATTCGATTACCAGATCTTCCCTGTATTTCTTTCTCTCCTCCGGGTTTCAAGTTCACCAGCTTTTCATGAGTGTCTGGTATATCGTAACCCGCGATGGTTCTCTCTATAATGAGCATCGGAGAGAGATAGATAATATCCTTGCCCAATTCCTTGCTTACATAGGCTTGCATCCTATAAGAAAAAGTCATCATGGCATTATTAGTTTGTTCCTAAAGTACCTACAGCGATGCAGTAGTGTCAAAGTCATAAGTAACTTACAGGGCAAATAAGGTGACTTGGGCGACATCAAGGTCCTTTCGCCACAGTAGTCTACGCATGTTGTGGAAATCTACGATGACTTCACCATCCGTGAGCGTGTGGAAGTACTCCGCCGGAATATTGATGATGAAGTTTTCTAGGCCCACTTTCCCTGTTTCCATGTACCATAGATGGAACCTCCTTACCTCCCACATCTCTTCAAGGAGGTCGCCCAAGGTCAACATGAACTTCCCATGCACGTAGTTTTTGGGGCAATCATCCGACCGGGGCCAAAACGATGGTGGTGTTTTCGGTTTGCAACACCGGGGCTTGAGATGTTAGGGAGTGGAAAAGGCAGATAACATCTCGAAATGAATTATAGATTGACTATGCTTGCTAGTAGCATACCTTTCAAACATAGTTGAGTATGGGTGCTCGTCGGCTATTTGATAGGCCACCCAACTCGACTTGGTGTGGTTCGGGGGTATGGCCTCCTCTTCATCTGTAGGCTTCCTCGGCGGGGGAGGACATTGGTTTGAGCCCTGCTTCGAACCACTTTGTAGGCGGTGGTGTCACATCGCCCGATGCTGCCCCTGTGCTTCCCTGTGGATTGCTGTTGTCAGGTGGTGGACTACCTGGAGGACTGTTGCCTAGGCCGCCAGCATTGTCGTTCTCATCGCTGCCGCCGCCGTCATCGTCGTCACCCGAGTCTCCCGGGGGAGACGACGATGGGTGCGAGGGCTGTGACGCCGACGTCGACATGTCCAAGACAATGTCGCTCTTGTTCCATAGCACGCGCATGCCGATAGTAGCGTTGATGAACCTGTCCCTCTTCAGTGGTAATGTCGATTTCATCCTCGTCAAAATCTTTGTTGGTCCACATCACGTCGACCCGAGCATAGTCGGGCGGGATCGGCTTGCCGTCGTACATGGCGCCGCTTTCGAGCGGCAGTGCCACTCCCATGGTCACGTCCTTCTTCCTCTGTGCCCTACCGAAGGGCACCTAGAGCGTGCAGCTCATTGGTTCAATGATGTTGTCGACCGGGGACCTGGGGAGTTGTTTGGTCCATGGCACCATCTGCCCTTGTACGACGGCTTGACCCTGTGGTAGCAGCATGCCAGCCTGGCAAAACATCTGCATCCTCAGCTCCACCATCTTGGGGTTGGTGCTCGTGAAAGCATCTTGTATCTTCCCCATGATCATGTCCTTGACTGCCTCATCACAACCTTTCTGGAGGAGCCCTTCCTTGTACCTCTGCCTCGTGTGGTAAGAGTTGATGTCGAATTGCTAGGCCTCAACGTCCTTCCAGCTCTGCCTCGAGGAAACCCCACGGACGTGGCCGCGGTGCTTGGGGTTTCCCAGCGCCTCGGTTAGTACGTCCCTCTCTCGGCGAGATTTGAAGGACCCGCTCTTCTCGACCGCAGAGACCTCCAAGATCCTCTTCTCCACCTCCTCGACCTTCGGCTCATTATACTTGGTCCTACCCTCCTTCAGCCTTTTTGGCTTGCGGGCAAAGAGGTAGTTACGTGACCTCTTATCGACGCCCTGTAATGGATTCGGCTGCCTGGCCTCAGCTGCCTCCCTTTCTTCCTACCGCCACTTCTCTATCTTTGTAGCGTACCCTGTCATGCCTAGGTGGTGGTGGAGCTCGTTCCTCTTTGCGAGCTTAGAGAACTTCTCGCCCTTGGCCTTTGCTTCTTTGGTCGATTGTTTCGTGACGAACTCTTCCCAAACATTACGCGTGATGAAGTTGTAGTCTTCGAATGGTGTCCTCCCTTTCTGCACGTACTCCCTATTGAGCATGGACCTAAAGTTGTGAAGCGCTTTGCCTGCAACAAATAGTGCATGCCCCATGCACTTGTCTTCATCATAGCCCTCTGTTGGATACGTGAACTGCCTCTTCACCTCTCCCCACACATTTCCTTTGATGTCCTTGGGGACTTTCCTCCAATCATCATATATTATAGGCACCTTCTCCCTGACTATACAGGAACACTGGTTGCTGAAGGTGCCGATGATGATAGTTGGCTCCAAGGGCTCTCCTTTCGGCCCTATCTTGTGTATCGCATGCACTTTCTTCTTGCTAATCTGATGCCTCCCGTGTTGGCCCCTCTTCAAGTCTAACTTCTTCTTGCTACTCGTCGTTGCGGTTGAAGAGGTGCCCGAGGAGGGACCGAGTGCTTCCTCCTCCTCCCCATCTTCACCGTCGGGGTACTCCAAACAAAGAGGCACCATCAGTATCTATCGAGGACAAGAACTTGCATTAGTTATATACTTGCGCGAGGCTCGTGAATGTTGTGTCAATTATCGTGCACTGCTTCGTCTACATACCTCGAGCTTGGGGCTTGGGTATCATCTTTCATAGGCTGTCGTGGCTCCGCGCGTGTTGAGTATCAATATTAGGGATACCCAAAGCAAGGAAGTCAACACCCGCATCAATCTCTCCGGATGGCCCAAGACGTGTTAAAGGACTCACCCGACCCCTAGGGAACGGGCTCTATCTCACGCGACCTCAGGGTCACGGGCTCCGCCTCGCCCGACCCCTGGGGAACGGGCTCTGTCTCGCCCAACCTCAGGGTCATGGGCTCCGCCTCGCCTGACCACTTAGGCGTGGCTCCCG